TCACTTTATTGTTATTGATATTTATATTTAAAAGTGCAATACTGTAAATTTCTGCTGCTCATTCCTGTGCAATATCTCATCTGCCCTCCCGTCATATTTCTTTTCAAGATTTTCTTATTTAATCACTAGTGTACATATATTTATATTTATAGATACATATATATTTAGTCATCTTTTCTCTTTTACTATGTCTCTCTAATATTTTGCTCCTTACTATTCTATTTTTTTATTATTTTATTTTATTATATTTTATTATATTTTCTCCTATTGTATCATGCTGCTGAGTGACTGCTGCTCGTCAAACACATTTCATTGCAATGTTGACCCTGTGCTAACTTGCATATAACAAATAAAACTGAAAACTGAAGTCAACTTAAACTGCCCTCAAGAAACAATAGCCAGCTGTGACCACAAGATGGCAGACATTTACAGGGTGCCAGTAGAAAGGCACTATGAGATCCTTTCCTGAATAGAAAGCTGTTCAGAGGTGTAAGGTTGTTTTGATAGGTTTTAATATTTGTCCATTATTCCATACATATCTGACAGAAATGAAGGAAAAGCAGAATATCTTCACTTTAATGACTGTTTTTAATAATTCTGTGAAGAATTATGACTCATAGAAAATATCTTTGGTTATTTATTTACAGTTCGTCACTTTATTGTAATAACGTGTTCCTGTCAGAATGCTGTAGGAAAGACGAGCACTGATCTAACTGTTCAGTAGCAGACAGCAAGATTTGTGATCTGATCCATCCTGAAATTAAACCCAGCTATTTGATCCACTAATCTTTATTCAGTCGTACAGAGATTGTGTATGTGTGTAAAACATTTTCAGAGTCTCCTCCAACAGGAGCAGATTGTGTTTTGAAACGTGAAGTAACTGGTTATTGCTGGAATGAAAGTACAATGCAGCAGGAGCAGATTAAGCGGCCAACCTCTGAGAGGATTTAAACAGCACATTGCCTCTGACCTCTGAAACAAGCCGACTACGTTCAGCAGGCACTTTTGTTGCAAACTTACTAATTATTTCTTAAAACACAAACATTACTTTCTTAATGTAATCCATCTGTCATAGTAAAGACATCTATACCATTAGATTTGTATTGAAAATCAACTGCAGATGTATGCAGAGGTCAATGTAAAACAAGGCACCTTTTTTATGTTTGAGCAACCTGAAATCAGAAATCATTGGTTAGCTATTGAAAAGTTAAAAGGAAGATAAAAGATTTTAAAAAGTCATGCAATCACTATCAGTACTGGTTAATGTGTTAGGAACACAGATAAGCTACATTTTTTGATGGAAATGAAAATGATCAAGTGACAGAAGGGTAAATTCAAAGACAACCCAAAAACTCAAAGTGAAAGATTGATGCAGCAGGCTAGTCCATCATGCGGAAATGTCTTTACAACAACTCAAAATGGTACTCAGTAGTTTGCATGCCCCCCATGTGCTTGTCTAACAATAGACAGATGCCATCCTGGGGAGTCTCCTCTCAGATCTGAACCAGGGCATCACTGAGCACCTGGACAGTCTGAGGTGCAACCTAGCAGCACTAGATGAACTGAAACATTATGTCCCAGAAGTGTTCTGTTGGCTTTAAGCCAGGCGAGCAAGAGGACTAGTCAATGTTATCAATTTTCTTCATCTTCCAGGAACTGCCTACATACTCTAACCACATGAGGCCTGGCAATGTTGTGCACCAAAAGGAACCCCGGGACCATCACACCAGTGTAGCATCTGACAATGGATCTATGGATTTCATTCTGATACCTAATGGCAGTCAGGGTGCTATAACCTGTAGAAGTATGTGCGTCCTTCGCCAGACCATCACTAACCCACCACCAAATTGGTTGTGCTGAACAATGTTACATGCAGCATAACACTTTCCATGGTTCTCTGGAACCTTTGACATCTGTGCAAAGCACAAGATTTCAGCCATCAACCTGCCAATTCTGGTATTTTATGATAAATGAAAACCAGGATCCATTGTTCCAGGCAGTGAGCACAGGGCCCATTAGAGGCCACGCTGTCATGAAACCTGAAGCCAGGTTATTTTGTTCGGTTCTGGCAGTGCTCAGCCTGTTCCTCCACACAAAGGAGCAGATACCAGTCCTGTTGATGGGTTAAGGACCTTCTACGGCCCTATCCAGAGCTACTACCCGTCTCCTGAAATTTCCTCCATGCTCTCGAGACATGGGAGTACAACTAACCTTCTGGTATTTTATCTTTAATATAATGTCATATCCAGATAATGTGAAAAAAAGTAGAACCAAAATGAGTGAAAAATATAGCTCAAAAGCACTTTACGTTAGTCCTCAACTCAGAAGGTTAAACCAATAACCTCTAAGCTCAGTTGACCCAAGGTGATGTAAGCCTTAAAATCTGTAACTTGTAACTTTAACTGTAACAAATCAATGTAATGTAAAAGCAGTATCAGTGATCAGTGGACTGACCTAATTGGTGGCTGTTTCTATTGTGCAGGACATTGCAGATATATGGAGACACAACAATTTCCACTAGACTCTCCAAACGGTGATACTCCGAACTTGGAACACCCGACTCATGGATACCCTGGCAGAAAAAGACAAAGACGTTCATACAATTTTTGATGTTAAGTGAGTACCTTTGGGCCTCTGTACGATATTTTAAAAACTGAAGACATTTTTTTCTCACTTCAAAATACTAAGTAAGGATGGATACCAGGACCAGAGTGGTCAGTAGTAATGAGAAACATCTAGGCAAACTGTACTGCTACTGGAATTCATGCAGTATTAATGCAAACTAATATATCTGATACTTTCTAATTTCTAACTAACCCCCAATAAAATGTGCCAATTTCAAGGGATTACATTTGACATCGCTGTGCGTTAATACTTTGTTTTTTGTGGTCAAAGCCGACAGGTCAGAATGTTCAAAAGACTGGGCTCATTTTACAACTAATGAAAAATTCAACTAAATGCAATCTTCTATACAGGATGTTAGTTACATTTGCAAATATAACATTCTTCACAGCACAATATGTTTACTTTAGCAAGCAGTCAATGCTTTATACCAGCATCTTCAGGGCAACCTCCTGGTCCCACACTAAATGAACCTTTAGTAAGTATTTCTTTAAATGTAGACAAGCAGCAGCCATAGTTCTGTCAGATCAAACATACAACCAAATTCTTAAATTTCTTAATTATTGTGAAAAAATTCCCCACCATTTATTACAGTGGAGTCAAGTTGATTTGGGTTGATTTAGGTCCTGAATGCTTGGTAACAAATCATCACAACAGCAACAACTACCATGTAGCTAGCCTAAGTTTACACTAAGTCTGAATTTAGTGTAAACTGTCATGACAATGAAAAACAATTTAGTATTGTAGTAATATTGATGGCAGAAGTACGATTATTTTGGCCCCCTAATGTGTCAGAATTATAACGTCTGTTATATCTTTATTTTATATAAAATATAGAGAATGGCATCAACTAGTGTATTGATAAGTAATATCCTTATCTAAAAATCAAAAACCTATTGAAGGTCTTCATGTTAAAACTGTTTAGATCTAGGGGTATTACTGATGATTAGTACTTTTAAATAGCCTGTTTTTTTTATTTTTGCAGTTTTATCTGTAATTTCACCAACAACAACACCAGTACTTAGCTTACATAAGAGTCAAATATGTTAGCAATAAACCCAAAATGAAAACCTTTATAGACTCACAGGTACTTTCTGTTTAATAATGGCTACACTTCTGACCTAACTGCATTCTTATGTTATGCTCATACCTTTTCTTTATCTTTTGGGACATTAACATTTGATGCAAGCTCAGTTTTAGCTGCATTTCCAAATAATATGATTAAGCTAACAAACTGCTGGACAAACTGTTTCATATGTATCTGATTGTATTTTCTGGGTTACAGTGATGTCGGCCATGAAGAAATATCGTGCTAATTAAGAAATAAAGGCTGTAACTGACTTGTAATTAAATAGAGCGAGTGATTGTGTGTGACTGTGTGTTTACCTGTAACACCAGTAGCATCTGTGTGACTGATGGAGGAATAGAGGTTGCATTTCCCAGAGTTTCCTCCAGGTGAAGTTTTAACAGCACCAGGTCTCTGAAGGCCAAGAGAGCCATCTGTCTCACAGTCAGCTCCTGACCCTGGAATGCACAAAGTCATATTTAAAAATACATAAACACAGACTATTATTAAAGACAACATTTCACTATTGGTTAATTTGCCTGCCTACCTGCGCCCTACTTTCACTTTCAGCCAAGTCTTCACATTACAATTTCATAATTTACATTACGGTGACCTCATGTGGGCTTTTCATCCCAATATGATTTCAAATCTAGATAATGTGAAAAAATACAACCAAAAAGAATGAAAAACATCGCTCAGAAGCACTTTACTTCAGTCCTCAGATCAGAGGGTTAATCTAATAACCTCTGCACTCAAATGACCCCAGGTGATGTAAGGCTTTAAATCTGTAACTTTAGATCTTCTAAAACCACGCACACAGACAGACTAAGCCCATGACACAGCTGTTTTGGACACACAAAATATTGTGTGTCCAAAACATTTTTTGGACAAACAAAATATTGTGTGTCCAAAACATTTTTTGGACAAACAAAATATTGTGTGTCCAAAACATTTTTTGGACAAACAATATTGTGTGTCCAAAACATTTTTTGGACAATTGAGCTATGACAATAACAGAAAAAAACTCAACATCTGACTGTTCTGATACCATTAGGGTAATCTCACAAATTCAAAAATGTAGCAAGAAAAGAAAAAGATTTACTTTTATGAACATCACAGTTTTCATGTATTCACCCCTGCGCCCTGAGCCTGGTTCTGCTGTTAAATGGGAGTTCCTTTTCTTCTTCCATATCTCAGTGATTACTCATCTGATCATCAGTGTTCTCTCTCTCTCTCTAACATTTTTTGAGTCTATATCGTACATTATATGGCATCTTGTTGTTAACTGGTACAATACGAATGTCTTCTTTCAGCCTCTCCTTTTAGGGGCCTACATCTCCAGTCACACCAACCCTCTGCATGTCCTCAGTCCCTACGTTAATGAATTTTCTCTTTGGTCTTCATTTTTTCTTCCTGCCTCAATACCCTTAGCTGCTCCTTCTTCAATATCCTTTGCTTAATTTATCCACAAGCCCTTATCTCCACATGTTCACACAATCTCATCCTTGCCTCTCTTATTTTGTCTACAAACACTGAGCATGATCTGCCACTCCTGACTCATCTAGCTCCTCCCCATGTTTTTTGTAAGACTAACCATCTTTAAACTCTATAATATAGTTGGTCTCACTACCATCCTTCCTCGCCACTTCCCTTTTGTCACAAATTGCCCACTTCACCTGCCTGTAACCTCTTCTTGACTTCTCTCTTTTACACTGTTCCTTCAAATGGTTATCCCCAGGTATTTAAACTCATCTGCCTTCACTACCTGTACTTCATGCATCTTAAACATTACACCTCCCTAACTCCAATTCACATAGATTGTACCCGTCTTTCTTCTACTAGATTGTATTCCTCTTCTTTAAAGTGCATACCTCATCTCTCTCTTTCACCTGCTTCCTACTGTCACCACAGATCACAACATTGTCGGCAAAACTCACTGTATAATCATTTTTCTGGATTGACAGCCCTATTTTAAAGTAACATAACATAACATAAGTAACATAATATAAAAAGGCTCCAGAAGTCTTGGTTTAATTGAATGCTGTATTATTAAAGTTCGGGAAGAACTGAACTATACATTTTTGTAATGTGGACGATGAACACTTTACCTGGACAGGGTAGAAGATGGCCTGCAGTGTAGGGAGGGTCTCTGTGAAGAACTGGTCCCACATACAGGCAAGGACATTAAGCTGGTTGTCATCTGTGGGGACACAAGAGTTAGAAATACAACCAATATTACAGTGATATGCTGAGCTTTTCCCACCATCTGAGGACTTACTTGTACTGTTTTTCTGTCTGTATAAACAACCAGGTTAACACAAGATAGACAAAAGCATGATGTTCTGCTGAAACCTGTTACTTTATAACAGATCAATATCCTTTATTTGGCTGCAACATAGTGGCAACATAATCATATATGCAGTGATTCCATGGTCCACCAGACAATATCAGACACGGCCACTACAGCAACTTTTGGAAAATGTGGGGTGCCATCAGAGTCACAGTCTAACACATTTTTATTTTTTCACATTTTAAATCAGTCAAAATTATTAGAGAAACAATTATTAGTTCAATCATTTCAACCAGTTTTACACACAATAGTCACAATTTACTAAACAGCTAAAAAACCCAACATAATAGAATTCAATAACTTCTACAGTGGGAGTGCAAAAATATCAATACAGTTCCCTTTAATCCAAATTCTACTAACTTACTCTGTTCAGTCTTAATGGAATGACAATTAAGAGCAGATTCAGCTAAATATTTTTCCCAGCTGACTGAAGACATAATATAATGTCAGAGTGCTATAAACTTCAACATTTCTTGGTGGGATTAACTGGATAGAGACGCATACATAGCAACATATGAAATTCTAGTCTTTTGCTTGTGCTGTCAGGAGTTATGTGAGTGCAAGGAAGACTTAATTATTCACACCAGTTTGGAGGAATTGGCCCACTCTTCTGTCCTGAATTGTTTAAATTCAGCCAGACTAAACAGGCTGTTCATTTTTGAGAGAACGGCCTGTGTAAGCTCATGTAAAGGCATCTTAGCTTTAGTCTAAAATTTAATTAGGCGAAGTCAAAACCTTTATTTTTTTTAATCATTCAGAGGTTGCTGGTGTGCTTTAGATCATTGTTCTGCTGCACAACCCAAGTGTACCTGAGCTTTGTGTACTTGAGCTCCGTACCCCCATCCTTGCTTTTTAAAGAGTTAGAACAGAACTTTATTAATCCCTTGGCGAGGTGGCCTGGATGACTGAGAACCTTCACAAACATATTGTATCCCTATTTCTGTAAAACAGTTTTTGAATTTTGTTCTTGAAAAGCACTATGTAAATAAACCTTACTACTTGCAAATGACTTCATGCAAAATTCTCAGTGGCTTAAATACCACCCCACCTAATCAAATTTCCCTTCTGTCATTTTAAATCCTATAGTTACAAGAATGTATTCATTTTCAATTTTATGCAATATGAGACAGTGCTGATCCAGGCCTGTTCTCTTCTACATTGTTCTGGAATGATAGTAAACATAGGGCGAACTAAACATAAGAGATTCCAGCTTCTTTATATTAACACCCTACTAACCAGTGTCACTGTTTTGAAGAAGGATCTGTTCCAGGACTCCAGATAGACCTCGACTCAGCAGCTGATTCTAAAACATCAACACAGATAGACAAAGACTTGAAATGTGTATCCAGGACAATCAAGTCAATAAGTAGGTCATCATCTACAAGCTGATGTCTTTAAATTTCACGCCACATTTCATGCAACTGCCATTTCAAATTGGGACAACATGAAACAGAAAATAATCATATATTTAATCTTACCACATGTCAGATTAGAACAGAAGACAGGATTATAAAGAGATTCCCAACGACTCAGACTGAAAGTTAACCAGTCCAAATACTGTGTGATCCTGTGTTCAGCGCTGTCTGAAAATCATTGTCAGTGTCCCACCTGCTAAATTAACGCACTAATACCCAAACAAAAATCCATTCATACATTAGATAAGAACTAATCATATTATAAATATCGTGGTTGGTACTTTTCTACTCAATTTGAGCACACAAAGCATTTTAATACTATGAGGCTCATTTATAAGAGTACTTTTTTCTAACCTAAGCACTTTCAACCTGATATCACTATAATAACACTCACATGGATGCATCACAGGCAACTCAGGGTTCAATATCTTATCACTGACCTTCCAGCTAGTCGATGACCTGCTCTACCTCTTGAGCCACAGCCACTCTAGCTTGTATTTATGTAAAAATATCACTACTGAACCAGTGACCAACAAGGTATTATTGTTATTATAGCATGCATACAGGTGTTTTAACACATGGGTCAAATATTAAAGGCAGAGTATAAAAAGCATTGCTGTTCTTCCTTATTTATTGTGTTAGTAAGTAGCACAGGAAACTATCATCACTGTAACAGTGAACACATTTACACAGCACACATTTCCTTTCAGATAATGAGATACAGCAGAAATTGCTCTTTAGTTTTGCAGCTCTTTTTGCTCGTCACAGGAACCAGGAGCCCTGTGGTTTCTCAGTTACGCGGGGCAACCAGACTTGGAGCACTCACAGCGCTTTTTTGTTTGGTTTGCTTGGCTCTTTTGGCAACGGCTGACACTGATCAGGGACTGCAGTTCTAGTACCATGGATTGTTCCTAGTGACACAATTTTTAAATTGAGGTTTTCTAAGAATTTCAGTGTTATGAATTGAATTCTGGTGTTAGTGAAAGTAATTCATAAAGTATCTTAGCCACTGAGAGAGATCTAAAGGTGAAAATTGTTTCTTGACCTTGAGTTCAGAGCAAATTGATTAAAGCTAAATGACTGAAGCAGTCATATCAATTAATATCAAGAGATTCAATCATTGGTCCTCTTGTACAGTGACTAACATTAGTTAACTCATTGTACTACAAGGACATTAAAAAACAAACAAATAATGAGATTCATTTACAAATATTTGTATGAAAATGTTCATATTCTGAGCAAAAAAAAAAAAAGGGAATTACGGCTGGATTCATTAACCAAATTTGGATTCATTTGTTTTTAGGATCTAACAGTGTGCAAATCTAATTGGGGTTTTCTAACAGTCTCCACTGCCTCTGTTGTAGGTATGCAAGTGAAGAGAGAGACTATATCAAATGACACCATAGTTTCATCTGGCTCAAGTGAAAGTTCCTGCGCCTTGTCGGTAGACTCACCACCGACTTCTAACAATGCTTCTTGGTAGTAAAGTGTTTTATAGCTGCAAAGCCAGTTTCTTTCCCCTTAAATGGAGCCACATTTGATTCAAACAAACAGGCTTCAAAAGCATGTGGAAGAAGCATCCACAGCTACTGCAGTCCTTCACCTCTGCTCTCTGCTCCTCATGTGGATCACACACTACTGCGGGATGGCATTCCATTCTTCAACCAGCATTTGTCACAAGTTAGTGAGTCTGTACAAGAAGAGCACACCGAAGTCCCACAGGTGCTCGACGGGGTTGAAGTCAAGACTACAAGCAGGCTAATTATTCCATGCTTTACTCCCAAGTTCTGAAGGTAATCTCTGATAAATCCCACTCTTTTAAGGCGAGCATTCTTGTTTGGGAGAATAGAGTTCAGTTCCAGACTGTGGAAATATTGTATTGCCACTGGTTGCCGAGTCTAATCTCGATATCTCCAGACCTAACTAAAAGCCTCCTTATAAAAATGAAAGTTTTAAGTCCAATCTTAAAAGCAGAGAGTGTGTCTGTCTCTCCAAATCCAAACTGGAAGCTGGTTCCATAATGAAGGGCCTGTCTCCCATTCTACTTGAACAACTTGAACAATGAACTAGGAACCATGAATAAGCCTGCAGTCTAAGAGCAAAGTGCTTTTTAAATAAAGCACTATGAGCTGAATAACTACCTAAATCAGTGCCCAGAGGCTTTTCAAGCAGCTCCATAAACATACTGGCTTTTAGAAGAACTTAGTATATGTCCAGTATTATCCACATGAATGCTTGATTGCAAGGTTTCCTAACAGAACATTATAGTGATTTGTAATGTTCAGTATTTTTCACTTTATTTTTATGATTATAATGCTGTGGCTGATTGGTGCATATATAAAGCAGAAATGTACTGTTGATAATAACACTGGATATTTAAATATTTGTTTGTTTGTTTTTTTACTGAAGTCCAAAAGTTTTAATCTGAATGTCATGACAGAATGCAAGCTAAGCTGCTTCAGGATGTGAAGAGGAAAGACATTTCAGCACAAAGACGAAGACCAGAAACTCAGTGCTGACATAACATGCAGATCTCATTTAAAAAATAAAAAAAATAAAAAAACAGAAAGAAAAATTAAAAAGGACACTATATCCGAACACAAAGGGCCTGTGTTGTCAAAAAGGCCTGCAATTTCATAATAAATGCCTTTCCAATTTTAAGATCAGTAATACAAGCGAGACAAAACTGTAAAATACTACAAGTCTCACAAAAACTACAATGGCAGTGATACAGTAGTTCCTGTGGCTCACAATCCATAAGAATTTAAAGGTTATTTTCCATAAAATAACAAATTTGACTAACTTTAAAAATGATTAACTTTAAAAATAATTTCGGTGATCAACATATCAGCAAAAATCTATAAAATTGTAGCAACTTTACATGATGCATTGAGAACTTCTACGCTGCTCCTCTCTTTTCACCACTGCACCTACATGCCACTATTGTACGTTATTAAATTCCTTATACTACTTACTGTACTTTGTATCTTGTCCAGTTTATTGTTCCTGATTTCTCTATGCAATACTTTTTTCTATTCTCTTTCCCCTCATCCCGTCACTATCTCTTACTGAGCCTGGTTCTGCTGGAGGTCTTCCTACTGGCAGTCACCATGTAGGATTCACTTTTGATCATTAGTGTTATCTCTCCAAATTTGTAGTCCTCTTTACCTTAATGTATTAAGTTCTTTGAAATGGGTGTTGTTGTGGTGGCAGTGAATTGAATTGAGTATTGGTAAAATGCTCAAAAATCCAGTACCAGTACTACAAGACTAATGATAAGACAAAGTAAGGACAGCGCCCAACATCGGCAAAAGTAAATGTTTCCCTGCCCACTGAAAACAAACAGACCTTCAGATGTTTCTGACTTAGAGACTCCTGCTGACATGAACTCTGTTACTTAACTCAGGAGTAATAAAAGGTAAAAGAGGAAGAGAAAATACCTGGAAGTACTCTGTGATGAAGGAACCCATCTCAGTTTTAAGGAGCCACCTACAAAGACACAGAAGACTTGAGCAGTGAGGAAGACTGGCAGCTACCATGTTCCTTTTTATCTCACTCACACAGTCCAAACCAGTTTCTTCTTTAAGTTAATTTAAAGATCATACTGTAAATTAATAAATAAAAAGTTATATATATAAAAAAAAGTTAATTTAAAGTTAAATTAGTTGTTCACTTATTGTTTCTGCCGACTCTTTCCACTTCTTCTGTCTCTGCATTTTGTTCTGTTCTGATTCAACAAGGCTACTTTGAAAAGAAAAAGTAAAGTGTCACCTGATGCTCTCGTTAAGTGTGTAGAGCTCATTAGTCTGCAGAGCTCCCCCCTTGAACACCTTGATCACAGCTGATTGGACCCTGAGAGAGAAATAAAACAGGTCAAGCAAATAAATTCTAGCTTGTATCGATCATAACTTAAATACAGAAATCTTTGTTTTATCATAGCGAGTTTCTGAAGAACTAAAAAACAGCAAACTGCATTATGTCTCCAGTAAGCTAGATCTTAGGCATTTTAAAAGAATGTAATACTTAGATTACTTATTTCCTTAGATTTTCAGTTGAAGCTGAAGGCATCATAACATTTATACCACCAGGGTCAAATATTTCAGGTAGAATGCCACAAGCTCCAAACAAATTACTGTGAGTTCTTACCTCATTTGCATTGGTCAGGTCTAACCACAAATTTTGAACTGGACTTGGGTTCATGGATTTGTCACAGCAACACCAGGACACTTTGTACTTATTAAACCTTTCTGCCACAACTTCTGAAGTATAGTTGGGGTCACTGACCCATTTGCAATCACTTTCTAAGGGTTGAACAATTAAGTTTTCACAAAGGCCACATGAAAACCTTAGACTGCTGTGAAGGGCTGCACTTCAGCCCTGAATTGAGATTATGAGGATCTGAGATTCTGAGATTCAGATTACTGAATTCAATAATCTGAAAAGATTTTCAGAAAACTTGACCTCTGACCCCGACTTTTGGGGTAAGTTTCACAGATATTAAAACTTGTCCAAGACTTTTAGTAGATGCACCTATAGTATCAATTTGAAAATCCTACATCACCCCACTGGTCAGGCACACATGGTAATACCTGATCAGAGCAGCACCACAGAGCAGTAAAGATCAAAGACTTTCACACAAATATTAAAAAATATAACGTTAGAATATAACGGGGGGGGGAGGGGGAATATTCCACCCTATTTTGGGGAAGCTTTAGGATCTGTAATAATATATCAATCATAAAATTTGACCCCCCCCCAAACAGATATTGGTTTGTTGCTTCAACGCAACACTGTGCGACAAGGGTAGTCAAACACCAAGTTATTATAGAATAAGTTTTATTAGTACGACAAGAATGAACAAATAAACAAACAAATAAACAATTTCACAGAACAATAAAACACCAAAATACATCCAACACTTGATCAGGGATCTCTCAGGGTGTCTTGTGTTGAACCTCAGGAAGCAGTTGCGGTCGGGGTGAAGCTGAGGTGCACATTGCATTTGTGGCACATTGCATTTGGTGTACCACTGCACCCTGGCACCATGCATTGAAAAGAAAAAAGTATTAGAAAGAAAGAAATGCAACAGGAAGATGCGCATGGACGGGTGCGCGCACACACACACACAATTACTTTAACACCTGACCTCTGACCTCTTGAGGGATTCACTCCTCTACTTCACTGTCACTCCCTGAAAGCTCACTGTCCTCACTTTCTGCACATTCCCTTGGTTTCCTTCCATAAAAGGTTTTTACATCCATGTCCTGTAATTCTCAGTATATTGTAAAGTAAAAAACATTGACTATGATCATACAAATGCACACAAATACATCTCTACACAAATATGCTAATATATTATATTGCCTGAAAAAAAACTGGGCTAACTGTTTTGCCTTGAGGCAACGAATGAAAAATAACAGTTTTACTCTACAAATAAATTTTAAAAAGTAAAACAAACAATCAAATATACTTCTTAACATATTCATGCACATGCAAGTATTTTTATATACATTTATTTCACTATAAACATGTAAAATAGTGATCTGTATCTTACCTCCTAATGGAGATGTCTCTCATGTAGTACAGCTTGGAGAAAGTCCCCCCTCCCCAAATGAAAGTCACACCACCTTCAACTCATCATTTT